CTTTCCATATGTACCAAGAGTTGCCACCCTGGGTCCAGCAAGAAGGTGAAGGAGGGGGAGCCATTCTGTTGCTATGATTGCATCCCGTGTCCAGAAGGGAAGATTTCAGAGCAGAAGGGTAAAAAATATATTCTCCTGGTTTACCAAGTAGACCAAATATAATCCAGAGGAATAGGTATACAGAACTGCTTTAAAAAAGGGGGGGTGAGGTTATTACTCTTCTGTACTCTGGGACATAAGTTTTGATATATATGGTGGACATCATTCTTTATTGTTAAACATGTATTAAAGGTGATATGGCCATGCAAGAGTAGATGGTTTCCACATACATGTCCACATACTTTATCAAACAGTAGCCAGGGTGGGCGGTTTCTGATTCTAGTGGCGCTTGAACAGCCAATGATGGTGTGAACTGGGGGGGGGGGGTCAATTCAGTTTAAAATGAAATATGTGTATATACTATGCATATTATGACATAGAGCAGGGGTAGGCAACCTAAGGCCCATGGGCCGGGTGCAGCCCAATTGCCTTCTCAATCTGGCCCATGGACAGTCTGGGAATCAGCGTGTTTTTACATGAATGGAATGTGTCCTTCTATTTAAAATGCATCTCTTGGTTATTTGTGGGGCCTGCCTGGTGTTTTTACATGAGTAGAATGTGTCCTTTTATTTAAAATGCATCTCTGGGTTATTTGCGGGGCGTAGGAATTCGCTCATTTCCCCCCCCAAAAAAAAATAGTCCAGCCCACCACATGGTCTGAGGGACGTTGGACCAGCCCACGGCTGAAAAAGGTTGCTGACCCCTGCATAGAGCAGCCCATGTAGCGCGGGTTTTTCTTGGTGCTCCAAGCAGCAACTGTTGTTGATGGCATTCATCTGTCTCAGGAGACAATGAAAGAGTGTGCCTTCAGGGTTGAGATCAAACCATTGAAGAGCTGCAGTGCCTGTTGTTGCTGTAGAAACTGATACAGGAGAGACACGTTTTACTGCAGATGGGGCAGATGAAGGAGTCCGGTTTTGTTGCTACAGATGCACCATGGTCTTTCTTCTCTCTGCACTCCCCCCAGTGGTCATTTCTCCTTTGGTCCCTACTGTAAACTGTTAATAAAGAAGACCATCTTTGGACCACCTCTTGCCCATGTGCACATCAGTTTGCATAGATGCAGAATAATCCATTTCTGCACATGGCTCTGGGAGGGATGGAATGCACAGGTTCACTCCATAATGCAGATTAAATAAAACTCCTCTGTGATCCCTAAATCAAGTAGAGGGTTGAGTTAAAAACAAAGCTACTTTCCCTGGGACATCAAGCAAGGCATCCACAGAAGTAGTAGCACCTAGCACTGCTGACACTGAGAAAAGAGAAGGGTGTCATCTTTGCAACTGATGCAATGACCGAAAATTGCAACAACCATATGCTTTAATCGACTGTTTTGTCCACCTACATGTGCGTAGGCTGCTCAGGAAGCGTATGTTATGCTTGCAAGATCTGAATACTCATTGTTACCAGTAATTCACAACAGATTATTCTTGCTCAGTTGTACAATCATTATTTGCAATATTGTATACATGTTTAATATTGTAGCAACTATATAAATATAGGTATGTTAATGGCACATATTTTATTTGTTAAAAACTACTGTGAGGTCAGTGATACCCAGCATGCTGTGTGTCCAATACACTGATGCAGTTGATTTTTGTTGAAGGTTTAATGATAATTGGACTCCAGTCACCATTAGCAGGGCTCTATGATCACAGCTGGCTTACTACATCCTCATGCCTAAACAGAAAGTTGGACTTATATCTATTTAGATGACTTTAAAACCTCCAGATTTAAATACCAGATGCTGCCACATTGCAGAGTAACAGCACTAAATTTATCATGTAACTTGAATACAGGGGCACCTCGGGTTAAGTACTTAATTCATTCCGGTGGTCCGTTTTTAACCTAAAACTGTTCTCAACCTGAAGCACCACTTTAGCTAATGGGGCCTCCTGCTGCTGTCGCACTGCTGGAGCCCGATTTCTGTTCTTAACCTGAAGCACTATTTCTGGTTTAGCGGAGTGTGTAACCTGAAGCGTATGTAACCTGAAGCGTATGTAACCCGAGGTACCACTGTACATGTTTTTTATTGGTCCTGGAGGAATGATTTTGCCATTTCTTTCAAGATTAATGGCGTAAGACAAAACCTTTTTCATTTTTCAGATATGAACGACTGCCAGAAATGCACAGATGGGAACTATCCAAACAAAAACCAAGATTTCTGTTTTCCCAAGACTGTAACCTTCTTGTCTTATGAAGAACCATTAGGGATCAGTTTAGCTTGTTTTTCTCTGTCCTTTGCTTTGATCACCGTTCTGAACCTAGGAACATTTATGAAGCACCATGACACTCCCATCGTCAAAGCCAACAACCGCGACCTCACCTACATTCTCCTCATCTCCCTCTTGCTCTGCTTCCTTTGTGCTTTACAGTTTATTGGCCGACCTGAGATGGTGACGTGTCTCCTGCGACAAACAGTTTTTGGAAGTGTCTTCTCTGTGGCTATTTCTTGTGTCTTGGCAAAAACCATCACAGTGGTTTCTTGCATTCATGGCCACCAGGCCAGGATCCAGGATGAGGAAGTGGGTGGGGAAAAAGCTAGCTAACACCATTGTTCTTTCCTGCTCTGTTATTCAAGTAGGCATTTGTACTATATGGCTGGCAACCTCTCCTCCATTCCCAGATGCTGACAGGCACTCAGTGACTGAAGAAATTATACTAGAATGTAATGAGGGGTCTGTGACTCTGTTTTACTCTCTTCTTGGCTACATGGGCTTCTTGGCCATTGTCAGTTTCATTGTGGCATTCCTTGCCAGGAAGTTGCCGGACAGTTTCAACGAAGCCAAGTTTATAACTTTCAGCATGTTGGTTTTTTGCAGTGTTTGGTTGTCCTTTGTTCCAACCTACCTGAGCACCAAGGGAAAATACATGGTTGCTGTGGAGATCTTTTCCATTTTAGCCTCCAGCGCTGGCTTGCTGGGTTGCATCTTTTCCCCCAAATGCTACATTATTATTTTGAGACCTGAGCTGAACAACAAGGAACAGCTAATAAGAAGAAAAGAATGAATAATTTGTTTCTTTACACAATAGTTTGTGAGAATCTTATTTTCAGCAGCTACCCTATGTAATGCCCTGGCTGCAGAATAAAGGCCAATTTAAAGTCAAACTTGACCAGAAAAGCACTACGGTCTGTACCACTGAAACTGCTACATTGAAATACAGTGGAGCCTTGGGTTGTGAATGTGATCTGTGCGGGAGGCACGTTCACAACCTGCAGCGTTCGCAACTCGCAGCGCCACGTCTGCGCATGCGTGGGTCACGATTCGGCACTTCTGCACATGCCCAAAGTGCAATTTAGTGCTTCTGCACATGCACAAGCGCCAAAACCCAGAAGTAACCCATTCCCGTACTTCCAGGTTCGGCACGATGCGCAACCTGAAATCACGTAACCTGAAGCATCTGTAACCCGAGGTACCACTGTACAGTAAGCCCATAACTTATGTGGGGGTTACATTCCAGGGATTGCACTGAAACCAAAATTTCAAATTCTCAAAATGACAATGTTGTTTCTTGGACACCTACCTCCTTCCCACTCCCTATCTATCTATCTATCTATCATCTATCATCTATCATCTAATTATCAACTATCTATCATCATGTATCTATCTACCTACCTACCTACCTATTTATCTATCTATCATCCATGTATTTATCTATCTATCTATCTATCTATCTATCTATCTATCTATCTGTCTATCTATGCCAAGCACATAAAGTTAAATGAACACAAATTAATATGCATAAGTTGTGGGTTTTCTGTATATACCGTAAATGAAAGATATAACCCTGGACAGATAGCTCTGTTAACTGTATTCCATTAGACAGTATGTTAAGTAAAGGACTTTCTCCCTGTAACAGAGTCATGCTCAGGTTGCAAAAACCAAAAATAACACAGGGTTGGATTGGGGGGTGGGGGTTTAAGATATTATTTCAAAATTCCAAAAAGATTATTGAGCAAACGTCTTTTATTTGGCATATTCTCAAGAAGCTCAGCTGCATCAACAAGTATAATCATTACTTCTCTGCTACCACACCAGTCTTTTATTGCTGGAATCTACACTTGAGAAATGCCTTGCCTTGGGAAGAACCAAAATAATGTCACAAAAGTGTGGCAAGCTTTCTTGGTATCATTTTCTTGTTCTCTGTCATTCCAAGTCCTACTCTCTTAAAATGAGAGAAAGCTATAGTTCAGATGTGAAAAACAAGATTTCTTCAGCAATTCCCCAGATTTCAGATGGTGATTAACTTCCTATTTAATGACCAAAATGATGGTGATTAATTCTGCTGCAATCTCAAAACCCACAGGAATACCCAATTTTGACCATAATAGCCCGCTTCTCTCATTATTAAAAGAACTCTAATTATAACTCCGCTACTTCTCAAAATTCCAAGACAGTTTCAGGGATCATGAGCAAAACTAATAGATAAGACGGTGAACAATGTCATAAGTATAGCCACTACCATTTAGAACCAGAGAAAGGACTTGAACACTTGGCACCAGGAGCAGGCAGATATCAGGCTTGCAAAATCTCCATTGTTCTATTATAGAAGCCCAAGAACCACCAGTGGAGCCAGGTATCAGATAGCAGCAGGGAGACAACATATCCTAAGGATTAGGGAACAGGATACCTTTGAGCACATGCTCAGCCCTAGAATTTCTTTTCAGAACCAGAACTGCACTCATAATACCATGTATTAGTAGATTCTGACCTATCTTCTGCACACCTCTGCTTTTCATTCTATAGTTTCTATTCTACAGTTTGAACTCTGATATTCCTGGGTTCTGGCCTATCAGCAGACCAAACTAGCAGACACTTATCATCACAGAAACCCCAATTTTACTGTGGAAGAACAAAATAAGAGAATCTGAGTTTAGAAGGAATATTTCCATTGTACTCATGAAGTTGATTTTAGTGGTCTTGCAGCTGGTATTTCTTCCTCACGTGGTATGCAAAGTTTGCAATGTTCAATGCAGGGTCCCTAGTCCTCATCCTCCGCCTCAAAAGTACCATCAGCCAGGAGATCTTATCATTGGTGGAATTGTCTCTCAGGCTCGCTTCATCTCCAGCTCATTCACCTTCACTGAAGAACCCCCTCCAGCATTACTGGAAGAGCTTGTGTAAGGAATTTTCTTTCTTCCTTTCTTCCACCAGAATAATCAGATTATAATGAAGTATTGGATTTGCAGAACTCTGGGTTATTCATTTGAGCTGTAGTAAATGTTACAATGGTAACATTTCGGCTTCGGCTGGGGAGGGCGGGATACAAATAAAAAAATATTATTATTATTATTATTATTATTATTATTATTATTATTATTATCATTATTATTAAGAACATTGAAGAAAAGAAGCTCCCTTTACTCCACATAATCACACTTTTCAAAGCTACCTTACTTCTTCTTCTTTACATTTTATTCCACTTCTTTCTTCCATTCATCTCTTTTTTACCGACATAAGGGAAACCCTTCTGATACAGAATCCATCTTTCATTCTAGCATTGTGCCTAAGAACTACCAACACATCTTGGCCTTGGAGTATGCGGTGAAGGAAATCAATGAAAACTCACAGCTCTTACCCAATGTCACCTTGGGTTTCCACATCTATGACAGCTATTTAAGTGCAAAGTGGACCTTTCAGGCCACTCTGCTATTTCAATCCACTCTAGACAGGTTTGTCCCCAATTTCAGATGTGGCGTCCAGAATAGTCTGACAGCAGTCATTGGGGGACTGGACTCTGAAGTATCCCTTTACATTGCAACCATCTTGGATATCTATAAGATTCCACAGGTAGGTTATTTGTGGAGTATTGGAATTTTTTTCTTTCTGTTTTCATTTCATTGATTGGGGTCAGAAATAGGTGCACAGATCTTATATTTATTTATGACTGTCTTGTGCTGGCTGAGAAAGACATTCTTCATGAATTTTAATTGCAGCTGAATGTTGCAGCTAATCAGATAAGGATTAACTTTTTATATGCATGTCAAGCTCCACACTCTGAGAGCCAAACTGAACATGTGTAAAAGTTAAACCAAAAATAAAAAGTGCTCACCCCTTTGGCTACAGTGTTTGAGAGGAATCTATATTTATTATGAACCTTGACATGTTGGAGATGGGCATGAAACCAACCTTCTCACTGCCTCATACGTCTTGCTCTCTGAGCCAATTGCATTTGATATCAAAATAGAGGCTGTGGAGTAGGACAGGGGCTTATACAGACAGACCTACACACACATGTTCACCAGACTTCCCTTCTCATGAATAGGTGAGTGGCTTTCAGGGTCTTCAGATTAGTGCAAAATTTGTCTAACTTTCAGATGTGAGAGTATTTGCTTCCAAGTTCATAAAACACCTTAGAATATAGCTTTCCCCATTGATAAAGCAGTCATTTTTGAGGTAGATAAGATGAAGAATTGTTTAACTCCATTCCAATGGAGTGTCCTAGCAAAGATATTTGAGTTCAAGTCTATTTCTTTTCATTAGAGTCAGCAGCAGTTATCCATAAAGCATTGAACTCACTAGATGACAATAGACTGGCTCCCATTTCCTGAATATCAGATTCCTTTCTGTGTCACAGGAACAATAAAATTTCCCTTTCTTAGATGGTTGTTCTAACTATTAATTGAATGTGGATTGGGGGGTTTTCCCCAACATTTGAAAACGGCATTCTTATTATTGTCTTTCTCCCCTGTTGTGAATACTTCCTTAGCTCATTTATGGTTCTGCTCCTGTGATGAATGATAAGACCCCAGGCCTTTCCTTCTACCAGATGGCACCTCCGGAAGGCCAACAGTACATGGGGATTCTCTCTTTGCTGCTGCATTTTAGATGGACGTGGATTGGGGGCATTGTTATGAATAATGACATTGGAGAAAGATTTGCACATATTGTAGTTCCCCTGTTTTCCAAGAATGGTATCTGCTTTGCTTTCCTAGAAAAAATCCCCAGTTTTAATTTTGTCAGTAAAATTAATGATATGCTAGAAATGGTAGCAAAAATTCATGATACCATAACTGACAGCAAAGCCAATGTAGTGGTAGCCTATGGGGAATCATATTCCATGACCATTTTCAGATGGTTTCCATATGTATCACAACTCGAACACATGAGCGAGAATCCAAAAGGTACAGTATGGATAACGACAGCACAAGTGGAGTTCACTTCATTGGTCTATCAAAGAACATGGGAAACTGAATCATTCCATGGAGCTCTGTCTTTCAAAATTCACTCCAGTAATATACCTAGTTTTCTGCAATTTGTTGGAAGCAGAATCCCATCCAACAGAAGAGGAGATAGTTTTATAATGCCATTCTGGCAACAAACATTTGGCTGCACGTTCCCTAATGTGGTTGTGGATAATGTGAGTGGAGACATTTGTACAGGGCAGGAGAAGATGGAAAGCCTTCCGGGAACTTATTTTGAATTATCCATGACTGGTCACAGCTACAGCATCTACAATGCTGTCTATGCTGTGGCCCATGCTTTACAAGATATGTCCTCATCTGTACCCAAACGGAGAGGAATGGTGAATGAAAGAGGATCAAAGCTTCAAAATCAACAACTCTGGCAGGTACTGGATTCAAAATGCTTCATTTGGCATCATACTGTATATTGGAAGTTTTTCTCTCCCAATTCTTACTGTGCTAACATTTTCTTCTTCCTTCCACATTGAAAGCATATAACAGTCCCTATGTCAATCTGCTATTCTGTTTTAATGTTTGTGATTTGTTAATTTACTATATGTACATTGTACTGATTTTTGCACATTCATGTACAAATCCTTCGTGCAATCTTTTCATCATCAAGAATGAGCATGTCTTCCATAACCCTTTTCCCACACAAATATACAAAGTTGTTTTGCTGCTGCCATTTAACCTTAATCTGAAAGACCCCAATCCAGCCCTTTCTAAAGTCTTACCTTTTCTCTTTCAATTTAGCTCCATCGCGTTCTCAGAGATGTTTCATTTAACAACAGTGTGGGGGACAAAGTATTCTTTAATGAGAATGGAGAGGTAGTAGCTGGATTGGATATTGTCAACTGGATTCTGCACTCAAACCAGTCCTTTCATCTTGTGAAAGTTGGGAGCATTGCCGACCAAGCATTCACTATCAGAGATGATGGCATAACATGGCACAACTGGTTTAACCAGGTATGGTACAATTTTTAGCAGACAAGGAAGTATTCAAATGTTGAGTGAACATTCACTTCTAATCTGTACATTTAATTTCTTTGGGCAGTGTTCAGCCCAAAGCACAATTTGCGGCTTATATGGCCTAATTATGTGAACAGGGTGCTTGCAGAAATGTGTCTGACTACATGCCTTCTCAAGGGGACACGGGTGGTGCTGTGGTCTAAACCACTGAGCCTTGGGCTTGCCGATCGGAAGGTTGACAGTTTGACTCCCCGTGACGGGGTGAGCGCCCGTTGCTCAGTCCCTGCTGCTGCCCACCTAGCAGTTTGAAAGCACGTCAAAGTGCAAGTAGATAAATAGGTACCAATACGGTGGTAAGGTACACGACATTTCCGTGCGCTGCTCTGGTTTCGGTGTTCCATTGTGCCAGAAGTGGCTTAGTCATGCTGGCCACATGACCCAGAAAAACAGTCTGCAGACAAATGCCGGCTCCCTCGGCCAGTAAAGCGAGATGAGCGCCGCAACCCCAGAGTCATTCGTGACTGGACTGAATTGTCAGGGGTCCTTTACCTTTTTTTTACATGCCCTCTCAAACCCTTCCCATCATGGCTGGTGAAATCAAGTGAGGGAGAGTTGATTCGGTGGGTCCAGGTTGAATATTTCCTTGTGGGAAGGGGTGGTACCTGCTGCTCCATCTACACTTGCTGAGAGAAGCAGATAATGAAATAATAGTCCAGATTTCCCCTTTAGAAGTAATTTAAAAGAAACTAATCAGATCCTCTTGAAGGACTCATTCCAATAATAATTGTGAAAACTGGCAATTTAATTATAATCTCTGGAATGATGTTCAATATACCGTTTTCCCACCCTATATATATTCTGTGGTTTCACCTCTGTTTTCTGCATTCCACTCTCCTATTCCCTTGCAATAGATTGTTTTTATTGTTTTTATTACATTGGAAATATTTGCTAAGGGGTAAATAGAGGGGAGAAACTCTGAAGCAGAATGTGACACTGTCACAATTATTAAAAATATGGGATAAGTATAAAAATAAATTAAGTCCAGGTATCTCCCCTCTGGCTTCTGTAATAAAACTAATAGATTTCTTAGGAGAAATCAGGTATCACATTTCATTAATTAGGGGGGAAGGGAGTTCATAATTTGGAGATTTAACAGAGAAAAATAGGATTGTTGTCACCATGTTACAAATATTTTCAATAAGATGTTGTTTTTTGTTGAAAATACTGTGCCCAGTATATGCATTAAAACAAGAGTCAATTTGGAGGGAAATGGCAGTGAACAAAATCACTGTCATCTTGTAAAAAGAAATGGAAGAAAAAAGATATTCCAACTCTGAATTGTTCTTTTTAAAAAGATGGCAACAATAGTGAAGCCATACTACTGTGTAGGAAGCAAAATTGATACCAAATTTATAGAAACCTATTCAATTTTTACAATATGTTGTCTGTGTAGGTATAAATAAAAGAATAACACTGTACCGTATTAATTGTTTGTAGAAAAAGAAAATGGTGGTAGCTTTGAGCCCATTCATACATTACTGAATAGTCTTGTCACTTTGGAAGCATATGGAAAACTCCTGGAAATTTAAGAATTCCAAGCTCTTCGTTCTGAACATTGTTCTCCTCTTTCATATTTGGATTAGACGCAGCCTCTTTCCATATGTACCGAGAGTTGCCACCCTGGGTCCAGCAAGAAGGTGAAGGAGGGGGAGCCATTCTGCTGCTATGATTGCATCCCGTGTCCAGAAGGGAAGATTTCAGAGCAGAAGGGTAAAAAATATATTCTACTGGTTTACCAAGTAGACCAAATATAATCCAGAGGAATAGGTATACAGAACTGCTTTTTTTAAAAAAAAACCATGGTGTGAGGTTGATACTCTTCTGCACTTTGGGACGTAAGTTTTGCTATATATGGTGGACATCATTCTTTATGATAACAGAATTAAAGGTGATATGGCCACATAAGAGCAGATGGTTTCCACATACATGTCCACATACTTTATCAAACAGTAGCCAGGGTGGGCGGTTTCCGATTCTAGTGGCACTTGAACAGCCAATGGGGGGGGGGTCAATTCAGTTTGAAATGAAATATGTGCATATACTATGCATATTATGACATAGAGCAGGGGTAGGCAACCTAAGGCCCATGGGCCGGGTGCAGCCCAATTGCCTTCTCAATCTGGCCCATGGATGGTCCGGGAATCAGCGTGTTTTTACATGAGTAGAATGTGTGCTTTTATTTAAAATGCATCTCTGGGTTATTTGTGGGGCATAGGAATTTGTTCATTTCCCCCAAAAAAATATAGTCCAGCCCACCACATGGTCTGAGGGATGGTGGACCGGCCCATGGCTTAAAAAGGTTGCTGACCCCTGATATAGAGCAACCCATGGAGCATGGGTTTTTCTTGGTGGTTTAATCAGCAACTGTTGTTGATGGCACCAAAGTGCGCCTTCAGAGCTGAGATCAAACCATTGAAGAGCTGCAGTGCCTGCTGTTGCTGTAGAAACTGATACGGGAGAGATATGGTTTACTGCAAGTGGGGCAGATGAAGGAGTCCGGTTTTGTTGCTACAGATGCACCATGGTCTTTCTTCTCTCTGCACTCCCCCCAGTGGTCATTTCTCCTCTGGTCCCTACTGCAAACTGTTAATAAACAAGACCACCTTTGGACCACCTCTTGCCCATGTGCACATCAGTTTGCATAGATGCAGAATAATCCATTTCTGCACACTGCTTTGGGAGGGATGGAATGCACAGGTTCACTCCATAATGCAGATTAAATAAAACTCCTCTGTGATCCCTAAATCAAGCACTGGGTTGAGTCTAGAAACAAAGCTACTTTCCCTTGGACATCAAGTAGGGCACCCTCAGAAGTAGTAGCACCTAGCACCGCTGACACTGAGAAAAGAGAAGGGTGTCATCTTTGCAACTGATGCAATGACAGAAAATTGCAGCAACAATATGCTTTATGCGACTGTTTTGTCCACCTACATGTGCGTAGGCTGCTCAGGCAGCATATGTTATGCTTGCAAGATCTGAATACTCATTGTTACCAGTAATTCACAACAGATTATTCTTGCTCAGTTGTACAATCATTATTTGCAATATTGTATACATGTTTAATATTGTAGCAACTATATAAATAATCATAGGTATGCTCATGGCACATATTTTATTTTTAAAAAACTACTGTGAGGTCAGCTATACCCAGAATGCTGTGTGTCCAATACACAAATGCAGTCATTTTTTGTTGAAGGTTTAATGATAATTGGACTCCAGTCACCTTTAGCAGGGCTCTGTGATCACAGCTGGCTTACTACATTTCATTTTACAGATATGAACGACTGCCAGAAATGCACAGATGGGAACTATCCAAACAAAAACCAGGATTTCTGTGTTCCCAAGACTGTAACCTTCTTGTCTTATGAAGAACCATTAGGGATCAGTTTAGCTTGTTTTTCTCTGTCCTTTGCTTTGATCACAGTTCTGAACCTAGGAACATTTATGAAGCACCATGACACTCCCATCATCAAAGCCAACAACCGTGACCTCACCTACATTCTCCTCATCTCCCTCTTGCTCTGCTTCCTTTGTGCTTTACAGTTTATTGGCCGACCTGAGAAGGTGACGTGTCTCCTGAGACAAACAGTTTTTGGAAGTGTCTTCTCTGTGGCTATTTCTTGTGTCTTGGCAAAAACCATCACAGTGGTTCTTGCATTCATGGCCACCAGGCCAGGATCCAGGATGAGGAAGTGGATGGGGAAAAAGCTAACTAACACCATTGTTCTTTCCTGCTCTGTTATTCAAGTAGGCATTTGTACTATATGGCTGGCAACCTCTCCTCCATTCCCAGATGCTGACAGGCACTCAATGACTGAAGAAATTATACTAGAATGTAATGAGGGGTCTGTGACTCTGTTTTACTCTGTTCTTGGCTACATGGGCTTCTTGGCCATTGTCAGTTTCATTGTGGCATTCCTTGCCAGGAAGTTGCCGGACAGTTTCAACGAAGCCAAGTTTATAACTTTCAGCATGTTGGTTTTTTGCAGTGTTTGGTTGTCCTTTGTTCCAACCTACCTGAGCACCAAGGGAAAATACATGGTGGCTGTGGAGATCTTTTCCATTTTAGCCTCCAGCGCTGGCTTGCTGGGTTGCATCTTTTCCCCCAAATGCTACATTATTATTTTGAGACCTGAGCTGAACAACAAGGAACAGCTAATAAGAAGAAAAGAATGAATAATTTGTTTCTTTATACAATAGTTTGTGAGAATCTTATTTTCAGCAGCTACCCTATGTAATGCCCTGGCTGCAGAATAAAGACCAATTTAAAGTCAAACTTGACCAGAAAAGCACTACGGTCTGTACCACTGAAACTGCTACATTGAAATACAGTGGAGCCTTGGGTTGTGAATGTGATCTGTGCGGGAGGCACGTTCACAACCTGCAGCTTTCGCAACTCGCAGCGCCACGTCTGCGCATGCGTGGGTCACGATTCGGCACTTCTGCACATGCCCAAAGTGCAATTTAGTGCTTCTGCACATGCACAAGCGCCAAAACCCGGAAGTAACCCATTCATGTACTTCCAGGTTCGGCACGATGCGCAACCCAAAATCACATAACCTGAAGCATCTGTAACCCGAGGTACCACTGTACAGTAAGCCCATAACTTATGTGGGGGTTACATTCCAGGGATTGCACTGAAACCAAAATTTCAAATTCTCAAAATGACAATGTTGTTTCTTGGACACCTACCTCCTTCCCACTCCCTATCTATCTATCTATCTATCTATCTATCATCTATCATCTATCATCTATTTATCACCTATCTATCATCATGTATCTATCTACCTACCTACCTACCTATTTATCTATCTATCATCCATGTATTTATCTATCTATCTATCTATCTATCTATCTATCTATCTATCTGTCTATCTATGCCAAGCACATAAAGTTAAATGAACACAAATTAATATGCATAAGTTGTGGGTTTTCTGTATATACCGTAAATGAAAGATATAACCCTGGACAGATAGCTCTGTTAACTGTATTCCATTAGATAGTATGTTAGGTAAAGGACTTTCTCCCTGTAACAGAGTCATGCCCAGGTTGCAAAAACCAAAAATAACACAGTGTTGGATTGGGGGGGGGTTAAGATATTATTTCAAAATTCCAAAAAGATTATTGAGCAAACGTCTTTTATTTGGCATATTCTCAAGAAGCTCAGCTGCATCAACAAGTATAATCATTACTTCTCTGCTACCACACCAGTCTTTTATTGCTGGAATCTACACTTGAGAAATGCCTTGCCTTGGGAAGAACCAAAATAATGTCACAAAAGTGTGGCAAGCTTTCTTGGTATCATTTTCTTGTTCTCTGTCATTCCAAGTTCTACTCTCTTAAAAGGAGAGAAAGCTATAGTTCAGATGTGAAAAACAAGATTTCTTCAGCAATTCCCCAGATTTCAGATGGTGATTAACTTCCTATTTAATGACCAAAAGGATGGTGATTAATTCTGCTGCAATCTCAAAACCCACAGGAATACCCAATTTTGACCATAATAGCCCGCTTCTCTCATTATTAAAAGAACTCTAATTATAACTCCGCTACTTCTCAAAAATCCAAGACAGTTTCAGGGATCATGAGCAAAACTAATAGATAAGATGGTGAACAATGTCATAAGTATAGCCACTACCATTTAGAACCAGAGAAAGGACTTGAACACTTGGCACCAGGAGCAGGCCGATATCAGGCTTGCAAAATCTCCATTGTTCTATTATAGAAGCCCAAGAACCACCAGTGGAGCCAGGTATCAGATAGCAGCAGGGAGACAACATATCCTAAGGATTAGGGAACAGGATACCTTTGAGCACATGCTCAACCCTGGAATTTCTTTTCAGAACCAGAACTGCACTCATAATACCATGTATTAGTAGATTCTGACCTATCTTCTGCACACCTCTGCTTTTCATTCTATAGTTTCTATCCTATAGTTTGAACTCTGATATTCCTGGGTTCTGGCCTATCAGCAGACCAAACTAACAGACACTTATCATCACAGAAAACCCAATTTTACTGTGGAAGAACAAAATAAGAGAATCTGAGTTTAGAAGGAATATTTCCATTATACTAATGAAGTTGATTTTAGTGCTATTGCAGCTGGTATTTCTTCCTCACATGGTATGCAAAGTTTGCAATGTTCAATGCAGGGTCCCTAGTCCTCATCCTCCGCCTCAAAAGTACCATCAGCCAGGAGATCTTATCATTGGTGGAATTGTCTCTCAGGCTCGCTTCATCTCCAGCTCATTCACCTTCACTGAAGAACCCCCTCCAGCATTACTGGAAGAGCTTGTGTAAGGACTATTCTTTCTTCCTTCCTTCCACCAGAATAATCAGAATATAATGAAGTATTATATTCTGCAGAACTCTGGGTTATTCATTTGAGCTGTAGAAAATGTTATGATGGTAAAGAGAACAATGAAGAAAAGAAGCTCTCTTTACTCCACATAGTCACACTTTTCAAAGCTACCTTTCTTCTTCTTCTTCTTCTTTACATTTTCTTCCACTTCTTTCTTCCATTCATCTCTTTTTTACCGACATAAGGGAAACCCTTCTGATACAGAATCCATCTCTCATTCTAGCATTGTGCCTAAGCACTACCAACACATCTTGGCCTTGGAGTATGCGGTGAAGGAAATCAATGAAAACTCACAGCTCTTACCCAATGTCACCTTGGGTTTCCACATCTATGATAGCTATTTAAGTTCAAAGTGGACCTATCAGGCCACTCTGCTATTTCAATCCACTCTAGACAGGTTTGTCCCCAATTTCACATGTGGTGTCCAGAATAGTCTGACAGCAGTCATTGGAGGACTGGACTCTGAAGTATCCCTTTACATTGCAACCATCTTGGATATCTATGAGATTCCACAGGTAGGTTATTTGCGGAGTATTGGAATTTTTTTCTTTCTGTTTTCATTTCATTGATTGGGGTCAGAAATGGGTGCACAGATCTTATATTTATTTATGACTGTCTTGTGCTGGCTGAGAAAGACATTCTTCATGAACTTTCATTGCAGCTGAATGTTGCAGCTAATCAGATAAGGATTAACTTTTATCTGCATGTCAAGGTCCACACTCTGAGAACCAAACATGTGTAAAAGTTCAACCAGCAATAAAAAGTGCTCACCCCTTTGGCTACAGTGTGGGAGGGGAATCTATATTTATTTTGAACCTGGACATGTTGGAGATGGGCATGAAACCAACCTTCTCACTGCCTCATACTTCTTGCTGTCTGATCCAATTGCATTTGATATCAAAATATAGGCTGTGGAGTAGGACAGGGGCTTATACAGACAGACCTACACACACACTGTCACCAGACTTCCCTTCTCATGAAAAGGTGAGTGTCTTTCAGGGTCTTCAGAGTAGTGCAAAATTTGTCTTACTTTCAGATGGGGGATTACTTGCTTCCAAGTTCATAAAACACCTTAGAATATAGCTTTCCCCATTGATGAAACAGCCATTTTTGAGGAATGAGATGAAGAATTGTTTAACTCCATTCTAATGGAGTGTCCTAGCAAAGGTATTTGAGTACAAGTCTATTTCTTTTCATTAGAGTCAACAGCAGTTATCCATAAAGCATTGAACTCACTAGATGACAATAGACTGGCTCCCATTTCCTGAATATCAGATTCCTTTCTGTGTCACAGGAACAATAAAATTTCCCTTTCTTAGATGGTTGATTTAGCTATTAATTGAATGTGGATTGGGGTTTTTCCCCCAACATTTGAAAATGGCATTCTTATTATTGTCTTTCTCCCCTGTTGTGAATACTTCCTTAGCTCATTTATGGTTCTGCTCCTGTGATGAATGATAAAACTCCAGGCCTTTCCTTCTACCAGATGGCACCTCAGGAAGGCGAACAATACATGGGGATTCTATCTTTGCTGCTGCATTTTAGATGGACATGGATTGGGGGCATTGTTATGAATAATGACATCGGAGAAAGATTTGCACATATTGTAGTTCCCTTGTTTTCCAAGAATGGTATCTGCTTTGCCTTCCTAGAAAAAGTCCCCAGTTTTAATTTTGTCAGTAAAATTAATGATATGCTAGAAATGGGAGCAAAAATTCATGATACCATAATTGCCAGCAAAGCCAATGTAGTGGTAGCCTATGGAGAATCATATTTCATGACCATTTTCAGATGGTTTCCATATGTATCAGAACTCGAACACATGAGCGAGAATCCAAAAGGTACAGTATGGATAATGACAGCACAAGTGGCGTTCACTTCATTGGTCTATCAAAGAACGTGGGAAACTGAATCATTCCATGGCACGCTGTCCTTCAAAATTCACTCCAGTAATATACCTAGTTTTCCCCCAATTTGTTGCAAGCAGAATCCCATCCAACAGAAGAGGAGATAGTTTTATAATGCCATTCTGGCAACAGGCATTTGGCTGCATGTTCCCTAATGTGGATGTGGATAATATGAGTGGAGACATTTGTACAGGGCGGGAGAAGATGGAAAGCCTTCCGGGAACTTATTTTGAATTATCCATGACTGGTCATAGCTACAGCATCTACAATGCTGTCTATGCCGTGGCCCATGCGTTACATGACATGTCCTCATCTATACCCAAACGGAGAGGAATGGTGGATGAAAGAGGACCAAAGCTTCAAAATCAACAGCTCTGGCAGGTACTGAATTAAAAATCCTTCATTTGGCATCACACTGTATACTGGATGTTATTCTCTCCCAGTTCTTACTGTGCTAACATTTTCATCTTCCTTCCTTTCCCTTGAACCTAGAAAGGGCACGATAGCCTTTATTCCAATCAGACATCCTGTTTGACTCTTTGTGGTCTTCTCTGGGATATAAAGAATGGGCATATTTTGCATCATTCTTTTCCCACTCAAATGTAAAGCATCGTCTGAAAGATCTAAGCGGAGCCTTTTTCAAGTCTTGCCTTTTATGTTTCTATTTAGCTCCATCAATTCCTTAGAGTTATCTCATTTAACAACAGTGTGGGGGACAAAATATCCTTCAACCAGAATGGGGAGGTAGTAGCTGGATTGGACATTGTCAACTGGATTTTTTCCTTGAACCAATCATTTCATTCTGTGAAAGTTGGGAAGGTTGATCCTGAGAGTCCTGCAGACCAAGCATTCACAATCAGTGAGGATGACATAACATGGCACAACTGGTTTAACCAGGTAGGTTAAAAAAA